TGTACCCAAGTAGCTCCTACCAGTACATGTTTGCTCCTCCTCAGCCTACTGCTGTCTTCAGGGCACCTGGCAAAGTTCCAGTGAGTTGAACTCAACCACGATTTAGTTTAGGCTAGAACATTATTTACATATTTTTGGCTTGGTGATTGAAAATTCCATGATATCTGACTATATTTATATATATTTATACAATACAATATATATAAACATTATTCAGTCAGGAAAATCTTTTCGTTGTAGGTTTGAATAAGTATGGGGCTTATGAGAATTATGAATCAAAATTTCCAGTCTTCGTTCACATCATCACCATACAGAAAAACTCATATACATGAAATTTGAAAATAAATTGTTTGAAAGGTTACATGTTTTATGCCAAATTAGGAGTTTCAGGACTCAGAAAATAATGTCTAAAATTTCCAGATATCAGTTAAACTGTTCAGTGACTAGTTTCACTGTGTAGTAAAGTATTTCACTGTATTTTGAAAACTGATATGCAATCTGAAAAGTATTGCCCTGCGAATAAAATTTGAAAATGTCTTCAGACCAAACTTTTTGCTACAAAATTTATAGCTGTTTGCCATTCATGGATTTTCATACTTCATTGTTCGCAAAATATGCAATTCACTTGGAAAAACTTTGAAGGGGGGTGTTTTTCAACTGACCATTAAAACCACAATATAGCATAAAATTGAAAAATGATTTGGGAATGAAACTGAAAATTTTATCAATTTCAAACTTCAATTGATTTTAAGGGCTTGCACATGCAGATTCTTCAGGTCACTTGAGTTTTGGCTCAGTGTTATTTTTGAGTCTCAATATAACACCTTAATTACTTTACAAAAATGAACCAAATTTTTCAGGCCCCAGGTTGACAGTTGATTTTGAGGTTTAACTCATGCACTTCATTTTTTGTTGATAAGAACATTTTTAAAAGTTGCAAAAACCTATTTTTTTCATAACATGATAAACAATTTAAACCTTTGTGAACCATAAAAGTCTCTAGAATTGTGTTTGATCAATGTTTAATGCAGATCAAAGTAAATTTGCCATATAGTAGTTGGAGTATTAACATTCATTTGTTTCAATAATGATTCAAGATTAAATTGTTTTTATATCCCCACTGAACTTTAGTTGGAGAGCAACCTGGCAGCACCTTCAGGACCAGTTCCCTGCCTTTTCAGTGCCCCTGGTAAACAGGTATCAGAGGCACAGCAACAGTGGTGCTGGTTGGACTCCCCTGCACACCAGCAGCACCAACAACAAGCACCACCACTACCACCACCCCCACAATTGTCTCAACACCAACAAATGGCCCAGGGTGCCCCAAGGTTCCCATCCACCTGTTGTACCTGCAGTGGACCCCAGTACTTCTACTCACAGGGCCCAGCTCAAATGCCTGCACCTTACTCTGTAATCAGGCTCAGTCATGATTGTGATGATGATGAAGAAGGTAAGTGTGATCACAATTGTATTCTAGACTATTTTCTCAATTCTAAAATAGCATAATAATGTTTGCAAATGTGTATGCCTCTTATGTATGATTTGTCAAGATGAAAGAATTCAGAGCAACATTTTACTATTAGAGTTGTTATTGGGAGAAAGTAAAAAAAAAATTACAGGAAATTGTATTAGTGTCATTCTTGGCCTTGAATTGCTTAAGGATTGACTTGACAGGATCCTGAACTTTGGAAGCAAGGGTTCATTTACCCATTTATACTTTTATACTTACATCCAAAAAACATTAAGTTACATTTTACTTCTTTTATCTTTTCTGTGCCAATAAAAATAACAGCCAGAAGGCTCCAGAAAAGTTAAGTTTTGGAAGTTTGAGGTTGAAAGTCTTTGAGTTGGGGAAGTTTTTAATGCATTTTTCCAATGGAATTCAGACAGGGACTTTGAAAAATTCAACAGTTATAGTGAGGGTTTGGACAAAGAGGCAACAACTTCCAACATCACTGGAAAAAACCTACAAGCAGGAATAAAGTAAATTCTAGTGAAAACATACTAAAATTAACAAGACTTACAGTTTACAATTTTGCTTGAATTTTCTGTGATTTACATTTTAAACTGGGTGTTGTTTGATTGATTTTGTGTGTGTGTGTGTTTTATATAGGAATCAATGGATCAGACCCTTCTTCAAGGCATGACATACACGAGTTGGACAAGGACTGATGGTGGCAACAAACAGGAAGCTCTTCCATCAACCCCCTCTGCCTATTCCCAAGCAGTTTATCTCAGCATCCATTCATTTTCTTTTTGCCCCCTCAGCATTTCATCAAGAGTGTATCTCCCCACCCCAAGGCCATCAAATGCAGTTCCACATGAGGACAAGGCCACCAAACACTGTCCCTTGCATTTTTCTTGTGTGGGGAAAATACAAAAGAATGTCTTCCCCCAATAGTCTTAAAAAGAAAAAAAAAGAGTATGCATCTGAAGGTGGACTACTAACCTTGACAATGTCATGCATGAGGGAATAGCGAAACATCCAGTCCAACTTGATGTGGTCATTCTCCAGGATGTCCTGCAAACTGCCCTTTGGACAGTATTCAGACAGAATGCAACAGGGAGTGATGCAGGCCCCAATGAACCTCACCAAATGGTCATGGTGAATGTCTTTCATCTGAAAACATGTGACAGAACAGAACATTTTTAATTGATATGCAAGCTTTATTTTCCCATATTGTCAGCATCCTAGAAGCTCACAAAATTTCCCAGCAAATCCATTTTTCTGGCATATCAAAAATAGTTCATCATATGTATTACAAAAAGTAGGTGCATCACAGTACATAAAAATGCACAATTAATGAATTGCTGCGGTCATTTGTTTTACACAGGAATGATAAAAATCACACCACAAGGCAATTACTGAGCCAAATTTAGTGCACAAGGTGTTCAGCCTGTTATTCCCAGATAAATTTCAATTCATTAAAAGCTTAGAAACAATCTACAAGGACAAAGATGCATATTGCTGGTTTCAGTTCTCATCAAAGTTGAAAATTGAAGTTTTTTATACTTCTCAAATTAATGGTGTCAAAAACTATTCTAAAAAATTGTCATCACAATTTAAGGGAAAATCTGGGAGCATCCAAAACAACTTTAATGTCATTTTAGGGAAAAGTGTCCTGGGCTTATTTGAAAAAATTCTCACCCTGGGACATCATCATCTATGCATGACTCAAGTAATTTNCACCTTGTAAACAGCAGTCTTTGTATAAAGCTGTTTGTTGTTTCCCGCGCAAATGGATCCAACTGAACACGTGCTCTGTCAACAGCAGAAATTATATATTCATGAAAATATATACATTTACACCAGTAAAAAAAAAAAAACCGGTCTTGCGTATTTCAAGGACCAGATATGCTGGACAAGACATCAAGCCACGTCATAAACAGTACCAGGATACTCTTAAAATACTTGTCCTTACTATATATATATGTTTGTATACAGTGCTCAAGGCCTTTGATTTGGTGCTAAGAAATTAACGACATTCTTTTATGAGTGTCTTGGTACTGCTTATGATATGGCTTGATGTCTTGTCCAGCAATTCCTATTGTCCTTGAAATACCCAAGACCTGCTTGTTTTTTTTTACTGATATATATATAGCCGGGAATTTTCTTCCGCTTTGCTGTATGATTTAAAAATTTTCAAGTCTTGTGTAATCTAAAAATACTTGATCAATGGAGTCCCGATTTAGAGTAGGATAAACACGATTCATGTCCAACAAGGTCTGCTGGGCACAGTTATGATCATTACTTTACTCAGTTTATATTTTTAGTTTTCAAAAATGAAGAATTTCCAACTGGAGCAGGTCATATGTACATTCAACAACCAAATCCAGAACATTAGCTTCAATGGCAGCGCAATATATAAATAAATATATAATGCAGCCTCCCTCTAAATTTATGTATATATATATATCAGACCGCATCAGACCTTGATCCACATGCGGACACCTCAACCTGAGGACAATTTGACATAGGGACACTTATTTTCCCATAAAAAATCAATAAAAAGGCCTGACATAGGGACACTGACTCAACATAGGGACATTTTGTGATAAAATTGCAAATACATT